GCTAATGGTACTTGGACGTTAGTTGATCTCCCAAACGGAAAGAAACCAAAGAATCAAAATGATGTTCTGCTTGTGTCAGGTGATTTCAATTTGCGCAATCTGATTTGCTATACATGCAACACAAATGATACCCATGATCCTGATATTAATTTTGAGCCAAATCCAGAAATGGCTGTTACTGTAAATGTGGTGAGCGAAAAAGAGAAAATTGTCATTGATACGTGCCACGAGCTGGGTTTGTTTCAAATATGTACTCACCACAATGAAAACAAACGAATGTTGGATTTGCTTTGGACGAATGAGCCCAACATGTTCACATGCAAAATGAGCAAAAGTAAAATAGCAAAAAATGAAACACACCATCAAGCACTCGAAGTAGTCATCCATGATAAAATTAACAGCAAATCTAATGATGTGATTACATACAAAGACTTCAAACATGCTGACTACACATCGATCAATAATTTTTTCGATAATGCCAACTGGAACAATGTTTTCAGCGGAATCGACTTGAACGATGCAATTGATCAGTTTTACGCAATAGTTAACACTGCAGTTGATACGACTGTTGAAACGAAAACGAAGAAACAACAAATCCATCCGAAGTGGTTTGATAGTGAACTGATCAATTTAAAAAACAGAGTAAATACATTGCACAAAATGAAGAAGTTTGACGCGACCGATGAAACGAGTTATTTTTGTTGGTGATTTTAATCTGCCGCATGAATTAGAAAAAATGTAAAATGGACCGAAATAAAACAACAATTTTACATTTTAAAATTAATATATATAATAATAATTAGTTTCATTATCTACAATTCGTTTCGTGTTTTTTGGAATGGTTAATCGATAGCGACGACGACAACATCATGATTCCAACTAAATTTGCACCTGAGTACACGGCCACTTTCATCCAGGGACTCATGAGCATGGGAGTTCATCAGGTAAATCATGTACGTAATGATTCAAAGGAACGATTATTGGATTTGTTCTTTACTAATGATTTCACTAACATTTCGATTGAGCGTGTAAATGAGGTTAACGCACTGACGGAAGTGGAAGATCATCATCCACCGATACTAGCCACAGTTGAGTGGCATGGAAACATACAACCGAGGCGAACATCAAAACAAAAGGATTCAACTTCAAGCGTGCCAACTATAAAGACATGAATATGAATACACACCTGGCAAATGCCAATTTCACCGAGCTATTCCATGGAAAGATAATCACTGAGAAAGTGAATTTGCTGCACAAGACTTTGGACTGCAATTATCAAATTTGTGCCTACATACATCGTCAAGTCGATATCGTCAAATAAATCATAATCATAATAAATGAAATATTACTTTTCCGTACACAACGTGTCAAGGGAAAGTATAGGAATTGGTCCCGAAAACTTTTTTCGCAAAATTGGTTTAGATCATCATGAAAACTCATGAAACGCGTAGAAAACTACTTTTTGAGACACTTTTCCGTTCGTGTGCCGTCGTCGTCGTTGTCGTTGTCGTTGTCGTCGTCGTCGTAGCTGTTTGTAAACACGATAACTCAAAAAATAATTGAGATAATCAAAATCTGGAAATGCCAAAAGTTTTGTATCCGAAAAACTTAGTTTAAGTTCGAAGATGAGCCATTTTCGATTTGATCCTGGGGTACTTGCTAAGAAAAACCTCAAAAAATTTACACTTTTGTATGAGAGGTGCCCGTAAATCGACTTCGATTGGCTTCAAACTTTCTGGGATTTCATTTTTCGGAAGAAAAATAAGATTCTGAAAGTTTGAAACCAATCGGAATCGATTTACGGGTACCTCCCATACAAATTTTTTGAAATTTCCACTAAAATTACCGATTTTTGGACAATTTTGTATGGGAGGTACCCGTTAATCGATTCTGATTGGCTTCAAACTTTCTGTGGTTTCATTTTTTGGAGAAAAAATAAGATTCTGAAAGTTTCATGTTGATCGTTTGCAGAAGTTTGAGTTTTTGTCCTCAATTTTTGTCGACATTTGTTTGGAAAAAAATTAAGGGACAAAAACCTAACTTCTGCAAATGACTGACATGAAAACGACTTCTGACATGAAACTTTCAGAATCTTATTTTTTCTCCAAAAAATGAACCCTCAGAAAGTTTAAAGCCAATAAAAATCGGTTTACGGGTTTTAATCATACAAAATCGTTGAAGTTTTAGTTAAAGTGACCGATTTTTCACTTTATTTTTATTATTATATTTTCACTGCCTTTATTTCAAGAAAATTCACAAAAAATAACCAAAAGTACCTACGGACAACGAAGGCCAACGGTACGGAAAAGTTCGGGATTACCAATGTAATTCTTTTTATTTAAAATATCAAATTGTAAATATTGTAAATATAAAATAATATTTATACTAAATAAACCACCTCTGGCGAAGAAACGCTGTACGGTGTCGCTTTGTCCCAAAATATCACCATAACTCGCTCCATCGTAGCTGAAACCACTACACTGACTTTTTTAGACGTTTGGCAAAAAACGTTTAGTGAAAAAAAGTGCAAATGTGGAACTAAAAAGCAAAAAACAAAGACCGTCTAGAGACGATCTTGCCCATTAGAGGGTTAAAATGAATCATCATTCCAATGGCTTGAAAGTGTATCGAACATTGTTGCTTGAAATAAAGTGAAACACGATTCCTATAGTCCACAAATATTTTACGATTCACTTTCAAGCGAAGAAAATTTATGTTGCACTTTTAAACGTCAAGAATATTGTGTTACGGTTATCCATAAGTAAAGCTGTCAACGGACAAGAAGTTGTCCGTCCGTCCGTCCGAAAACTTCGGACGGACAAAATCTGTCCGTCCGAACTTTTTTTCGTACGGACAGATTTTGTCCGTCCGAAAAAAATGAAAATTTTCGACGGACAAATTTTGTCCGTCCGAAAGTTCGGACATACGGACAATGTCCGAATTATTTTATTTCGGACAAACGGACAACAGACACGGACAGGTTTTGTACGAAACATTTCGGACACACTTTTTTGTCCGAACATTCGGACAGTCCGAATGTTCGGACACGTTTTCGGACGGACGGACAATTTTTTGTCCGAAATTTGTCCGAAAATTTCAATGAAACTAAAAACACGTTTTTCCCGTCCGTTCGCCAAAAATTTCAATTTTTCAACAAATGGTTCATTAAACGCGACGCTGTGTTTTCTCATAGCTGACAATCACTCTCTCGAATTCACCTCAGTTTGAAATCTTGTATATTTTGAACGATCTTGAACTGCTATTTGATTGTATTTAAAAAAAAAACGTTAATCTATGCAAGCAACACATAAAGTTCGTTTTTATTCCATTGAATTTTTTTAAAAATGTAATCCAAAAATAAAACAAATGAAAACAAATGAAAACAAACGAATATTTATTGCTCGAAATCTAACAAAACCGCACAAAACTATTTCAAGCCGTACGTACCTTTGAACAAAAATCGACCGGAATATGGAATGTTAACAAACGGAATGACATTTGTTCATCTTCATTGTGGATTTTGTATACGAAAACACGCGAAGTACAAATTATATACTAACATTGTACAAAATCCAATTCAGCCAGTGATTGGCGGTGTTAAATATGAATAAAAATGAAAAGTTACTGTAGTATTTGAGAATCGAAACATTTCTATGCTCTTTTGATAATCAACACAACATTTAGACAAGAACAAATAGTTTGATTAATTTTCTTATTAGTTTTGAGAATTTTTCTTCATACAATTTTCATTAAGAAGTATCAGAAGAAAGTACTTATCAAGATACGAACATCCGTCGGAAAATTATTAGCGTAAAATACGCGAACCATTTGTTGAAAAATTGAATTTTTGGCGAACGGACGGGAAAAACGTGTTTTTAGTTTCATTGAAATTTTCGGACAAATTTCGGACAAAAAATTGTCCGTCCGTCCGAAAACGTGTCCGAACATTCGGACTGTCCGAATGTTCGGACAAAAAAGCGTGTCCGAAATGTTCGTTGTCCGTTTGTCCGAGATAAAATTTTTCGGACATTGTCCGTATGTCCGAACTTTCGGACGGACAAAATTTGTCCGTCGAAAATTTTCATTTTTTTCGGACGGACGGACAGCAAAAAACCACTTTTTCACTTTTTTGTCCGTGTCCGTTGACAGCTTTATCCATAAGTGGTTCAACTTTAGTCATATTTATTCCCGACCACTCAAATGAAATTAAAATGAAATGCATTGAATTTTCCTAATATTTCTCGCCAGTAAGTAATGGTCAGTCTTCAGAATTGCTCTGCCAGATGTCTAACTATTTAAAAAAAAAATTGCAAATTTTTTTTTTCAACTCTAAAAATTATATTTTGATTCTTCAATAGGTGGTAATGAAAAATATTGCATTCACACCACGTGGCTATTGGCAATCACGACGAAACCGATATGATTTGTTGGTCACGGTTGCTGGCGTCGTTTGGATATTTCTGCAAACTACATTGCGCAGTCACTTATCGTATTTTATCGGTTTTATGGTGGTAATTTTACGTTTTTTCACAATCACTGGAAAACATACAACGCTGAAAATGCTTATGTTGACGGTTGGGGTCTCAGTTTGCAAATCTTTCTTCATTATCTTTGGAATGTTTCTCCTGGTATTTTTCTACGCTCTGGCTGGAACCATCTTATTTGGTACGGTAAAATACGGCGAGGGTATTGGACGTCGTGCTAATTTTGAAACACCAATAACTAGCGTGGCCATGTTGTTTCGAATTGTAACGGGAGAAGATTGGAACAAAATCATGCATGATTGCATGGTACAGCCACCCTATTGTACTGTCTCTGAAAACTATTGGGAAACTGATTGTGGGAACTTCACGGCGAGTCTGACATATTTCTGTACATTCTATGTTATCATCACATATATCGTACTTAATCTACTTGTTGGTGAGTTGTTTAAAGATAGATTTTGGAATCTTTTTTCAACATCTTTGCAATTCAATGTATGTTTATTATTTAATTTGTAGCTATTATCATGGAAAATTTTTCGCTGTTCTACTCGAATGAAGAAGATGCGTTACTTTCCTATGCGGATATCAGAAACTTCCAGAATACTTGGAATGTCGTCGATATACATCAGCGGGGGGTAATTCCGGTTCGACGCGTGAAATTCATTTTAAGATTATTAAAGGGTAGGCTGGAGTGCGACCCACAAAAAGATCGATTATTGTTCAAATATATGTGTTATGAACTGGATAAGCTACACAATGGAGAAGATGTCACATTCCATGATGTTATCAAGTAATATTAATATAAATTGTTTATAGAGCTATCTTGACATTTCATTTTAATTGGTTTAGTATGCTGTCCTATCGTTCGGTTGATATACGAAAAGCGTTGCAACTTGAAGAGCTTTTAGCACGAGAAGAATTTGAGTACATTATAGAAGAGGAAGTGGCAAAGCAAACCATTCGAACCTGGCTCGAGGGGTGTTTGAAGAAAATTCGAACGCAGAACGCGATTGTAAGTGTATTCAATAACGTTCGGAACTAACAAATTTAACTGATAAGTGAAATTCGTTACTTTACCTGGTTTTTTCTTTACTATTGTCACTATTATTATTATTTTGCACCATACAGCGTTTCTTCGGCAGAGGTGGTATGTTTTATTTTGTCAAAGTTTTTTGTTTGATAGTGCAACAACGTTTTTTATAACCAATTTGTTCCCATTATTCCACACTTATTTCATAAGGAAAATAAGAATTACCGTAATGTTTCTGATCCAGTCTGTGATACTCAACACTGCGGTTTCTTGAAAGTTCCAAAATAAAATAGACCCGAAGTGCCAAATGGTGCTAACAAGGGAGCTACAAGTACTTTATATCATATGGCAACACCTGTCAAATTAGACGTCTACTTTTTTTTCTCTCCGTCTATTTTCAACAAATTTGTTTGTTTTTAAATTGTTTTTCGTCTTAATTATACGATATTTTACATCAAATTAAAAGTTTAAGTCCTGTTTTACCTCAGCAATATAAAGTTTTCGTTCGAAATTTATTTTTGTGTACAGTTTCAGTGTATAATTTCTTCAAGTTTTTCTTCGTTTTGTTTACTTGTTATTGTTGTTGCCTACTGACTGACTGTGAGGTTAAAAGCCAAATCGCTGAGCTGTTGACAATGCTGGAGCCAATATGGAACAAATTAAACCAGCTCAAACATCTTTATTCTGATGAAATTAGCTCCGTGAGTTCGGACAAAGCCGATAAATCGGCAAACTCACGTACTGAGCCAATGGATGAAACTCCGGCACCAACCCAAATTCAAAGCCGATAATAGCCCTGTGGGGGTCAGGAAATGGGTCAGTTGACCTCGGGGGAAGCTCCAATCGATAGATCTCGTCAAAATACATTGAGATACAAACTGGTCCGGGGGGTTTAGCCACTCCCTAGCCCGCGAATCGGGTTTATATTTTTCCCCGGGGGAAAAATTTTTTTCCTTCCGGCAAAATCGATTTCCCCCCCCCCCCCTCGCGCATGTATGATGCTATTTATTTGATTCGATTTGAATGTTGTTTAGTTAATGTGTATCGATGTGTCTCTAACTTACATCACATCGGTTGCGATCGGTTCAAGAAGAATATTCAACGGATATAACTTTCGAATCTGACATACAGTGTTTGTTATATGTCATCATAGTTCACTTGCTAGGACCAGTTGGCGTTGGCAATGCGAGCATGGGAGTAAACATAGTGTCGTTGGCAATTCATTGATTTTCTCCATAACCAACTCCTCAGTAATATCAATGCGTGGAAAGTTTGCACAGCGGTTGAATAATATCGGATCATTTTCAAAAAAAATTTCCCTCGGGGAAAAATATAAACCCGATTTGCGGGCTAGGGAGTGGCTAAACCCTCCGGACCAGTTTGTATCTCAATGTATTTTGACGAGATCTATCGATTGGAGCTTCCCCCGAGGTCAACTGACCCATTTCCTGACCCCCACAGGGCTATTATCGATGATGCTTCCCTTACATATACATTACTCCAAAAAATGGTCTGGGGAGGGTCAGGGGGCAATATGGGTGGGTCCAATCGATAGATCTCGTCAAAGTACTCTGACAATACCCCCCCCATTTGGGGGTATTTGTTAGAAAACTTGGGGGAGATCTATCGATTGGAGTTACTTCCGATGCCCCCTGACCCTTCCTTGACCGATTTCCTGGGGGGGGGTAAATTTTTTGATTTGCAGGTCCTTAAAAAATGGTCTGAGGAGGGTCAGAGGGCATCGGAAGTAACTCCAATCGATAGATCTTGTCAAAGTACTCTGACAAAACCCCCCCCATTTGGGGGGGTAAACCCACTCCCAAGCCCAAAAATCGCATTTGAAAATATAGCATGAATCTTTGAATCTTTGAAACCCGTTTTTTGGCCTTGGAGGTGGGTTTTACCCCCCCTAATGGGGGGTATTTGTTAGAAAACTTGGGGGAGATCTATCGATTGGAGTTACTTCCGATGCTCCCTGACCCTTCCTTGACCGATTTCCTGGGGGGGGTAAATTTTTTGATTTGCAGGTCCTTAAAAAATGGTCTGAGGAGGGTCAGAGGGCATCGGAAGTAACTCTAATCGATAGATCTTGTCAAAGTACTCTGACAAAACCCCCCTATTTGGGGGGGTAAAACCCATCCCTAAGCCCGAAAATCGCATTTGAAAATATACCATGAATCTTTGAATCATTGAAAAGCGTTTTTTGGCCTTGGAGGTGGGTTTTACCCCCCCCTAATGGGGGGGGGGGTATTGTTAGGGTACTTTGACGAGATCTATCGATTAAACCCACCCATTTTTCCTTCTGACCCTCCACTGACCCTCTTTCGGGGACCTGCAAATCGAAAATATTATCTCCCTCAGTAAATTGGTCAGGGAAGGGTCGGCGGGCAACATTGGTGGGTCTAATCGATAAATATTGCCAAAGTAGTCTAACAAATACCCCCCCATTTGGGGGGGGTCAAACCCATCCCCAAGCTCAAAAAATGGATTTCAATGATTCAACGGTTCACGGTATATTTTAAAATGCGATTTTCGGGCTTGGGAGTGGGTTTTACCCCCCCATATGGGGGGTATTTGTTAGACTACTTTGACAATATTTATCGATTGGGACTATCCGTTTACCCAAAAAATGCCATCTGGTGTTTGCTCCAGTACAAAATATTGTAAAAATAATCGATTTTTGCACTTTTTCAACCATAATTCGCACACAGAGAAAACTGAATTGGTGAACCCTGCCAGTTCTATTGGTGAAATGCAAAAGTACCAATAGATTACATTATTGAACCCTGACGGTCTATTGGTGAAATGTCATTTCACCAATGGAATTTTTCATTTGTATTGGTAAATTCAATACAATAGGCAATGTTAGTAAATTTGTCACTTGTACTGAAATTACCAATACAAATGAAATATTCTATTGGTGAAATGACATATCACCAATAGAACTTATTTGCTTTAAAAATGTTGTTTTGTATGTGCAGGTTATTCATTTTTTTGGATACTGTCTTCGGCAAAATTGTGGCCGTTGTAAAAACAAACAACTCTTCTGAACACTTAACCCAACAAAATCACATCCAATGTGTTTTGAGTTAAAATTTTTGAAAGTGAAATTTCGAGCCAAATAAGTAGTCAGAACATGCTTATTTTGGATTTATATGTTCAGAAAGGTTGTCTATTTTTACACTGGCTACTTTTTTGCCGAAGACCGTGTCCAAAAATATTGAATAAATTTCGAATTTTAGTCATAAATATG